TTGCTTCTCTAGTTCTTTTAACTGTGATGTTAGAGTGTCAACTTGAGATCTTTCCGGCTTTCTCTTGTGGGCATTTAGTGCTATAAATTTCCCTTTACACACTGCTTTAAATGTGTCCCAGAGATTCTGGTATGTTGTATCTTTGTTCTCTTTGGTTTCAAAGAACATCTTTATTTCTGCCTTCATTTTGTTATGTACCCAGTAGTCATTCGGGAGCAGGTTGTTCAGTTTCCATGTAGTTGAGCGGTTTTGATTGAGCTTCTTAGTCCTGAGTTCTAGTTTGATTGCACTGTGGTCTGAGAGACAGTCATCTCACCCCAAAATCTCCTTAAGCTGATAAGCAACTTCAGCAAAGTCTCAGGATACAAAATTAATGTGCAAAAATCACAAGCATTCTTATACACCAGTAACAGACAAACAAAGAGCTATATCATGAATGAACTTCCATTCACAATTGCTTCAAAGAGAATAAAATACCTAGGAATCCAACTTACAAGGGATGTAAAGGACCTCTTCAAGGAGAACTACAAACCACTGCTCAGTGAAATAAAAGAGGACACAAACAAATGGAAGAACATACCATGCTCATGGATAGGAAGAATCAATATCGTGAAAATGGCCATACTGCCCAAGGTAATTTATAGATTCAGTGCCATCCCCATGAAGCTACCAATGAGTTTCTTCACAGAATTAGAAAAAACTGCTTTAAAGTTCATATGGAACCAAGAAGAGCCCACATCTCCAAGACAATCCTAAGTCAAATGAACAAAGCTGGAGGCATCACGCCACCTGACTTCAAACCATACTACAAGGCTACAGTAACCAAAACAGCATGGTACTGGTACCAAAACAGAGATATAGCCCAATGGAACAGAACAGAGTCCTCAGAAATAATACCACACATCTACAGCCATCTGATCTATGACAAACCTCACAAAAACAAGAAATGGGGAAAGGATTCCCTATTTAATAAATGGTGCTGGGAAAATTGGCTAGCCATAAGTAGAAAGCTGAAACTGGATCCTTTCCTTACTCCTCATACAAAAATTAATTCAAGATGGATTAGAGACTTAAATGTTAGACCTAATACCATAAAAACCCTAGAAGAAAACCTAGGTAATACCATTCAGGACATAGGCATGGGCAAGGACTTCATGTCTAAAACACCAAAAGCAACGGCAACAAAAGCCAAAATTGACAAATGGGATTGAATTAAACTAAAGAGCTTCTGCACAGCAAAAGAAACTACCATCAGAGTGAACAGGCAACCTACAGAATGGGAGAAAATTTTTGCAATCTACTCATCTGACAAAGGGCTAATATCCAGAACCTACAAAGAACTCAAACAAATTTACAAGAAAAAAAACAAACAACCCCATCAAAAAGTGGGCAAAGGATATGAACAGACATTTCTCAAAAGAAGACATGCATACAGCCAACAGACACATGAAAAAATGCTCGTCATCACTGGCCATCAGAGAAATGCAAATCAAAACCACAATGAGATACCATCTCACACCAGTTACAATGGCAATCATTAAAACGTCAGGAAACAACAGGTGCTGGAGAGGATGTGGAGATATAGGAACACTTTTACACTGTCGGTGGGATTGTAAACTAGTTCAACCATTATGGAAAACAGTATGGCGATTCCTCAAGGATCTAGAACTAGATGTACCATATGACCCAGCCATCCCATTACGGGGTATATACCCAAAGGATTATAAATCATGCTGCTATAAAGACACATGGACACGTATGTTCATTGCGGCACTATTCACAATAGCAAAGACTTGGAATCAACCCAAATGTCCATCAGTGACAGACTGGATTAAGAAAATGTGGCATATATACACCATGGAATACTATGCAGCCATAAAAAAGGATGAGTTTGTGTCCTTTGTAGGGATATGGATGCAGTTGGAAACCATCATTCTCAGCAAACTATCGCAAGAACAGAAAACCAAACACCACATGTTCTCACTCATAGGTGGGAACCGAACAGTGCGATCACTTGGACTCGGGAAGGAGAACATCACACACCAGGGCCTATTATGGGCGGGTGCGGGGAGGGATTGCATTGGGAGTTAAACCTGATGTAAATGACGAGTTGATGGGTGCAGCACACCAACATGGCACACGTATACATATGTAACAAACCTGCATGTTGTGCACATGTACCCTAGAACTTAAAGTATAATAAAAAAAAAAAAAGAAAAAAAAAAAAGAAGGCAGAAATAAAAACATATTAAATGCCCCATTAAAAAGACAAGGATTATCAGATTGAATAATCTGACCCACCAAATACTAACCTAAAACATTAAGATTGGCAGGTGATACTTAAAAAAAAAAAGAAGAAAACATTAAGATTAAAAAACAGAAAATGATATACCAAGTAAATACTAGTCAAAATAAAGCTAATTTAATTATATCAGTATCAGAAAATATTAATAGAAAAAGCATTAAGGTAAAGAAATTCAAAGCACAGTGATAACAGGTTCAGTTCACCAAGAAACTACCTCCTTCAGGTTTTTCTAAATCTGTATTATGTATCTCTAATATCTCTAAATCTGTATTATGTAATAACATGCATTCAAAATATATAAATCAAAAATTAATAGTACCACAAGGAGAAATAGCTAAATACATAATTATGTGGAAGATTTCTCTCAATAACTGATAGATTAACCAGACAAAAATAATCAATATGTTATAAAAGATTTGAACATCTGGAAAATACAAAGTTTAATAATATACTATATATTAAATACTACATGCAAAAACTATAGAATATATTTTATTTTCAAACATATAATGACACAGTACATTTAAAAAAAATTGTCCACCTACTGTGACATAAAACAAGTGCTCAATAAATTTCAAGAAATGGATATAATACAGATGTTTCCTAACCACAATACAATAAGGCTAGAAATCTGTAACAAACAGTTACTAAGGAAAAAATAGATATAGAGATTAAGAAACAGTTCTAAATGACTTCTGGGTTAAATAAAAAAATCATAATGAAAATTGTAGGCTGGACATGTTGGTTCACGCCTGTAATTCCAGCACTTTGGGAGGCCGAGGTGGGCAGATCACTTGAGGTCAGGAGTTAGAGACCAACCTGGCCAACATGGTGAAAATTGACTCCACTAAAAATACAAAAATTAGCTGGGCATGGTGGCAGGCACCTGTAGTCCCAGCTACTTGGGAGGCTGAGGCACGAGAACTGCTTGAACCCAGGAAGTGGAGGCTGCAGTGAGTCGAGATCACACTACTGCATGCCAGCCTGGGCAACAGAGCAAGACATTGCCTCGAAAAACAAAACAAAAAAACAAAAAAAAAGAAAATTGTAAAATACTTTGAATTGAAACATAATAAAAATATCACATATCAAAACTTGTGGGATGCAGCTAAAGCTGTACTTGGTGGAAAATTTATAGCGTTAAAAATGCTTACACTAGCAAAGAAGTAAGGCTGAGAATTAGTAACTTAAATAAAAATAGAGATAGTACAGCAAAATAAACCCAGAGAAAGTCAAAGAGGGAAATAAAGAAAAAGGCAGATATTAACAAAACAGAAAACAAATACAATAGAGAAGATTAACACAATAAAAAATGTGTCCTTTAAAAAAATTGACTCAATCTCTGATGAGAATGACGAAGAAGAATGAAGGTACAAATAAACTACCTTAGGAATAACAAGGGGAAATAATACATATTCAGGAGAGATTAAGAGAATAGTATGAACAATTCTCTGCCAAAAATTTACATAAAATGAACAACTTCCTACATAAATATAACACTGAATTCATTCTATAATGACCTAAAAAATGAATCAGTAGTCAAAAATTTTCTCATTAAAAAAACACTTTAGGCCCAGACAATTTTAATGTTGAGTTCCATCGAATTTAAGGAACAAATAAACCCAAATGTACACAAGCTAGTCTAGAGTACAGAAAGAAGAAACAGTACCCAGTATATTTTATGAGGTTAGCATAACCAGACACAAGGAGTAGAAAAAATGAAAATGACAGGCCAGTATCAATAATGGATAGATGCCAAATTTCTAAACAAAATGTTAGTAACTAAATCTAGCAATGAATAAAAAAGGTAATGTACCACGACTAAGTTCTGTTTACAACAGGAATGCAAAGTTGGTTTAACATTGAAGTCAATTGTTGTAATTCATTACATTAACAGATTAAAAGAGGCTCAGCACGGTGCCTCATGCTTGTAATCCCAGCACTTTTTGGGAAGCCAAGGTCGGTGAATCACTGGAGGTCAGGAGTTTGAGACCAACCTGGCCAACATGGCGAGACCCCAACTCTACTAAAAATAGAAACATTAGCTGGAAGTCGTGGTGGGTGCCTGTAATCCCAGCTACTCGGGAGGCTGAGGCAGGAGAATTGTTTCAACCCAGGAAGTGGAGGTTGTAGTGAGCCAAGATCATGCCACTGCACTCCAGCCTGGGCAACAGAATGAGACTGTATCAGAAAAAAAACAAACAAGCAAAACAAAACAAAACAAAAAAACCACAGATTAAAAAGAGAAAAATTATATCATAATATCATCATTCCAAGAGATGCAAAAAAGCATCTCATAAAATTAATATCCATTCAGCAGAAAGGGGGAAAAAAAACTTCACAAACTAGGAATAGAACTTATTTAACCAGATGTTTGAAGGTATCACAAAAAACCTATAACTGGAGTCTGCAAACTATAACCTTCAGGCCAAATCTGACCCAATGTCTTCAGTTAATAAAGTTTCAGCAGAACACAGTTACGCCCATTTATTTATGTACTGCCTATGTCCGCCTTCCAATGGCAGAGTAGTTGTGACAGAAACTGTATGGCCCCCTGCCCTTTTAAAATATTAACTATCTGGATCTTCACAGGAAAAATTTGCTGATCCTAAACTACAGTAAACAAAGTCAGACTGTACCACTAATGAAGTACCATAGAAACATTTGCTTTAAAAAAATAAAAATACTATCTTACCTTTTGTAAGGTGTTAAAAAGTGACTTGGAATTATTTTTAGAATTGGCTCGCATTGCAGTTTTAGTTAATTTGAACTCTTTTTCACATCGTGCTAATTCCTTTTTGAGTTTCTCTCTTCGTTGTTGGTCTGCATCTAAAAGGGAAAACAAATCTTTCAAAATATGGAACAAAATAGAAAATTTTTTTTTCATCTTGTTAGAATAATAAATGGAACATTTTTCTTGTTAAAATGTTATGATATGCAAATAGAAATCCATATACTTTCCTATATAAAGAGTTACACATTTTAAAAATTATTTATTTCACATGTGCCTCTAGATATTAACATTTAATTTATAGAAATTCTAAATGGATTAACTATTTAAATAACACAAACAATGTAGTGAGATTTGTGTAGTTACCAAAAGAAAAAAAAAAAAGAACGCCAACAAGATATGACAAACTGGCTAAGCCTAAGGGCATAAGAAAGCAATTCTTAGCAGTTATTCACAAAGATATGAAGGTTACAAATGCTTAACCATGTTATTTGTGACTATGTAATCACCAAATACATAAGTTTGTACTAGTCTACAGACTTATTCTCCAAATGAAATATTATTAATACCATCATATTCCATTAAAGTATTAAATTTATATGACTTCAAAAGGTGATGTTACATTTTAAAAACATTAGTGTGATCAGGGTAACTGACTTCTATTTCTCTTAACTGCTATTCATTTGGAAATACAAACAAAAAAGTGCTTTCACACTTTAGTGTGCTTTATGTCAGGCACTGACTAGTTATCAAAGACTAATCATTATATAAAGATTAAAAATAATGAAATGAAAGCTAGCCAAATTTCAGAATTAAGTAGAAGGTTCACTATCAGTAAAACAACTTGTCTTTTCATACAAAATTAAAAATCTATTGGAATTGATTCCAACTTAGTGGACAAGATAGTATCAAGTCTAAAATCACTTTTATTTGAATCAGAATTTATAAAAATGTCTACAAGCTTAAAAAACTAAGGTAATTTATATGTACATATAGCTTTAGTATAATTGTTAAACAAGATTATAAGCATGTTAAAGTAAATAGGTCTATTTGTCATTTAAAATGACTGAAATATTACTTTAAGGCTATTCTATCCTCAAATACTTGCCTAATGAATGTATTAGCTAAATTATAATGCTTGTGGAGTGAATTAAATAGTACCTTCTCAGTTGGATCTGTTATCTTACTTATAGGTAAAATAGGTGAGTAAAAAAAGAAGAGTCCTCAGACACTAACATTAGAAAAATGTTCTTTTGTATTGTCAAATCTACCTATTCATTTATAAGTAAAACTTCCTCACACCATCTATAAAAATCAACTCCAAATGAATCACATTCCTAAATTTAAGAGCTGAAACTATAAAATTCTTAAATTAGACAATCAAAATTGAAAGATGCTGGCTGGGCCCAGTGGCTCATGCCTGTAATCCCAGCACTTTGGGAGGCTGAGGTGGGCAGATCACTTGAGGTCAGGAGTTCAAAACCAACCTGGACAACACGGTAAAACCTCCTCTCTACTGAAAAAAGAAAAAAAATACAAAAATTAGCCGGACATGATAGTGTGTGCCTCTAGTCCCAGCTACTTAGGAGGCTGAGGCAGGAGAATTGCTTGAAACCAGGAGGTGGAGGTTTCAGTGAGCTGAGATCGAGCCACTGCACTCCAGCCTGGGTGAGAAGAGTGAGATTCTATCTCAAAAGAAAAAAATTAAAAACGTTTACACTTTTTCAAAAGCCACACGTGTGAGAAAAAAGCAAGTCACATATGGGGAAAATATATTTTCAAATCATGTATCTAATAAAGAACTTGTATTTAGAAAACAAAAATAACTTACAAATCAATAATAATAAGAAAACCCAATTTAAAAATAGGCAAAAGATTTAAATAGGTATTTCACCAAAGATATATAAATGGCCCATATGCACACAAAAGAAAATGCTCTACATCATTAGTTATGAAAGAAATACAAATTAAAACCACAATGAGATACCACTTCAATCTCACTACAATAGCTATAGTTAAACAGGGTCAATAACAAGTGTTAGCAAGGATATACAGAAACTGAAACCCTAATATATTGGAGGTAGAATACAAATTAGTACAGCCACTTTAGAAAAGTTTGACAGTTTCTTAAAAAGTTAAACATAATATTATAATATGACCCAGCAATTCCACTCCCAGGTATATGCTCAAGAGAAATGAAAACATGTCCACACAAAAGACTTGTATATGGATGTTTGTAACAGCACTATTCATAATGGCCAGAAAAATACAAGCAATACAAATGTTCATCAATTGATTAACAGACAAAATGTGGCATTATTCATGTAACAATTCTATTTTGCAATGAAAAGAAATGAAGTACTGACACAGGCTACAACATGGACAAATCTCTGAAAACCATTATGCAAAATGAAAAGACTAATGCAAAAGGCCATATAAATAATTCCATTTAAGTGAAATGTTCAGAAAAGGCAGATCTGTAGAGAAAGTAAGTAGGATACAACTAATATAGTTGTATAGATGCAGCTGGGAAATGCCTCTCCCACCAAGATGAGCTAAAATATTGAGTAAACCATCCCACTGAACAGAACTTTTGAGAGGAAATGCTGCAAACTGAGAGAGTTGACACAGAGATCATGGTGAAGAGGGAGGAAGCTGGGAAACCTGCACAGAGTCGCTGAGAGCCAGAACTAGCTCCTGGTTCTAAGGAAGCGGTAAGTAAAGGAACTCTGGGATCCTAGCTACAAGAGATCCCACGACCCCCATAGCCATCTGAATTGGAGGGGGAACTGTCTGGAGATCAGCAGAGGCAATGCTCAAACCCGAACAGAGCCCAGGATTCCTGACGCACCGTGCAGCTGTGGCAAAATGCGACCATAGGCACCCATCCCCCAAGGTCCTCCATTTTGCTTTGCGTGACTATAGCTCCTGCTGTCTGCCAGGCCAAGAGAAAGCAAAGGTTGCCTTTTCTGGGAGACTGGGTCCATCTGAACTACATGTCCCCATTGCTTACTAGCCCTTCCCACGACCACCGCCTGGTTGCTCCCACAACAGGGTGCCCATAGCACAGCCTTCACTGCCCTACGTGATTGTTTTACTGGTGGACTGGGAACAGTTTAGCTCCCCTGCACAGCTGTTGCTTCAACCTGAGGGGCTAGAGAACAAAATCATAGGCTGGCCCAGTCCCAATTTCCCAGGATTCAACTACACCACCCAGGGGTATAAAGCTGAGATCTGTGACCTGAGCTTGAGCAGAGCCAGAGCCCTCATGCTTAGAACACTGAGAAAAACATCACGCAGGTTCATCATGTGATGGCATGGGAGTTGGGCATCCGCTACTCCAGAAAATGGATCTGGCAAGGGTATGGTCTGTTAGCCAGCTACAGCCTCTTCCTCAGGGAGTCCTATGGTAGAGAATAACTGGAACAGCCCAATGATCTGGGTGCAGAAGTCTTGGGACAAGCCTAGCTGGTCAGGCTTGTTCCTGGGGCAGATGCTGGAATGCTGGAAAGAGACCCACCAGGTCAAGGGACCATGAGCTAGGTAGGCCCCACAGCCAACTGCTGGGCTAAAAAGCTCAAGCTGTGTGTGCCACACAAGCTGCACATCTGTGGTACCACTGCTATGCCTGGGGATCCCCCACCTTTTTCCCACTCCATCACAAAACCACAACAGACAAATCCCAAAACACACTCTGACTCTGCCAAACTCAGAGGACCAATGAGTGTGCAGAAAGTTGTGGGTCCCCTGGTGACCTAACCTTCAGCTTGAACTGCCCCTAAGTGAGGGGGGGGTGCAGCTCACCAAAGCCCGCGCTGGGGCTAATGAAATGCAGGTATGGCTCCAGTAATTGTAGGGGGCTCCACCAAGGCCTGAGAACAGACCTGGTGAGGGAGTCATCTTTCACTGCCCATCTTCCCTCTCTAGAACACTGCTGCTTACACACTGAAATACAAACAGGTACATGGCTGAGAGACTATGTGTTGGTCCTTACTTTTAAGTGCCATCTACTGGATCACAGCCTGAATTACAACACCAAATAAAAATAAATTTCTTCAACACATAATGCCTGTGAAACCCAATGCAGGGAAGTAAGGAACCCATACAGAACCTTAGCTTTCTGAAATCACCCAGAAATGAAGCCAATCAACTACACACCACATACATCACAGTCAAACTCTCAAGGGAAAAAAAAGAATATAGAAACAAAAAGCCCTAACCAAATGACAGTGAATTCAATAAAAAGAAAGAAAAGAAAGAAATACCAGCCCCCTCAGATGAGAAGGTATTAGCACAAGAACTCCAGCAATTCAAAAAGTCAAAAGTCAAGAGTGTTTCCTTACCTCCAAAAGATCACACTGGTTCTCCAGCAGTGAATCCTAGCCAGATTGAAATGTCTGAAATAACAGACATAATTTCAGAATCTAAATGGTAAGGAGGCTCAACAAGATCCAAAAGAAAATTGAAATCCAATCCAAGGAAGCAAGAAAAATGATCCAAGAAATGAAAGACAACATAGCCATATTAAGAACGAACCAAAATGAATTTCTGGAATTGAAAAATTCACTATAGGAGTTTCACACTACAATTGAAAGCCTTATTAACAGACTAGACCAAGCTGATGAAAGAACTTCAGAGTGTGAAGACCAGTTCTTTGAATCAACTCACTCAGAAATTAAAAAAAAAAAAAAAGAATTTAAAAAATGAAGAAAGCCTCTGAAAAATACAGACCAAACCTATCACTCACTGACATGCATGAGAGAGGAGAGAATAAGCAACTTGGAAAACATATTAGAGGATATAATCCATGAAAATTTCCCCAATCTCGCCAGAGATGTCAACATACAAATTCAAGAAATTCAGAGAACCCTTGTGAAATACTATACAAAATGACCATCCCCAAGACACAGAGTCACCAGGCTTTCTAAGGTTAACGTGGAAAAAAAAAAATCTTAAAGACAGCTAGAGAAAAAGGAACACCAATAACAGGCTAACAATGGACTCAGCAGAAATGTTACAAGCCAGAATAATTTGGTGACCTATTTTTAACCTTCTTAAAGAAAAAAAAATGCCAGCCCCAAATTTTATATTCTGACAAACTAAGCTTCAGAAACAAAGAAGAAATAAAGTCTTTCCTGACAAGCAAAAGCTAAAGGAATTTGGTATACCTAGACCTAGTGTGTTAGGCTGTTCTTGAATTGCTATTAGAAATACCCAAGACTGGGTAATTTATAAGGAAAGAGGTTTAATTGGCTCATTATTCTGCAGGCTGTACTGGCAGTATAATGCCAGCATCTGCTTCAGGGGAGGCCATATGAAGCTTCTGCTCATGGTGGAAGGCAAAGGGGGAATGTGCATTTCATACGGCAAGAATGAGAGGGGAAGGCAGTAGGGGCATACACTTTTAAACAATCAGATCTTGCAAGAATTCACTCACTATCATAAGGACAGCATCAAGTGGGTGGTGCTAAACCATTCATGAGAAATCCACAGACATGATCCAATCACCTCCCAATAGGGGCCAATCCCAACACTAGGAGTTACATTTCAATGTGACATTTGGGTGGGGACAAATACCCAAACTACATCACCGAGCCTACAAGAAATGCTCAAGGAAGTTCTAAACATGCACACATAAGAATGATACTCACTACCATAAAAGAATACGTAAATACAGAGGTTCACAGACCCTATAAAGCAATTACACAATCAAGACTACAAAGCAACCAGCAAACACCACCATGACAGGTTCAAACCTCACACATCAATAGTAACCTTGAATGTAAGTGGTCTAAATGTACTCATTTAAAAGGCACAAGGTGGCAAGAACCACTTTTTATTTATTTTTATTTATTTAAAAATAAAATAATTTTTTATTTAAAAAATAAAAAAACAACACCCGACCTTCTACTATCTTCAAGAGGCCCATCACACATGTAATGACACCTACAGGCTTGAAGTAAAGTGATGAAGAAAACCTATCATGCAAACAGTAAATAGAAGAGCAGGGGTTGCTATTCTTGTATCAGACAAAACAGACTTTAAACCAACAGCAATAAGGACAAAGATGGGCATTACACAATGATGAAGAGTTCAATTCAACAAGACTTACCTATGCTAGATATATTTGCACCCAACACTGGAGCACCCAGATTCATACAACAAGTACTTCTAGACCTATGAAAGGATTTAGACAGCCACACATTAATAGTGGGGGACTTCAACATTCCACTAGCAGTGTTAGATAGACCCTCAAGGCAGAAAACTGACAAAGAAATTCTGGATTTAAATTTGACACTTGACCAATTGGACCTAATAGATATCTACAGAAGACTACTCCACCCAACAACCACAGAATAAACATTCTTCTCATCTGCATGTGGAACATACTCTAAGATCAACCATATGCTCAATGATAAAGCAAGTTTCAATAAATTTAAAAAAACTGAAACAACGCCAAGTATATTTTTGGATCCCAGTGGAAAAAAAGGTAGAAATCAATACCAAGAGGATTCCTCAAAACCACATAATTTTACATGGAAATTAAACCAACTTGCTCCTGAATGACTTTTGGGTAAACAACACAAGGTGAAATTAAAAAAAAAAAAAAAACAAAAAAACACAAAAAACTCCTCGAAATAAATAAAAACAGAAAAACAAAACAGAAAAACAAACAAAAAAAACTACCAAAATTCCTGAGATGCAGCAAAAGCAGTGTTAAGAGGCAAGTTTACAGTGCTAAATGCCTACATCAAGAAGATAGAAAGATCTCAAGTTAACAATCTAACATTGCAACTAGAGGAAGTAGAATAACAAGAACTAATCCCAAAGCTAGTAGTAGAAAAGAATTATCTAAAAGCAGAAATACTTGAAATTGAGATTCCAAAATCCATATAAATGTTCAATGAAACGAAAAGTTGGTTTTTTGAAAGGATAAACAAGATCAATAGACTGTTAGTGAGATTAACAAAGAAAAAAGAGAAGATCCAAATAAGCACAACCAGATATGACAAAGGCAATGTTACAACAGATCCTACAGAAATAGAAAAGATCCTTAGAGACTATTAAGAACATTTCTATGCATGGAAACTAGGAAATCTAGAGGAAATGGATAAATTTCTGGAAACATACAATTTCCCAATATTGAATCAGGAAGAAATTGAAACCCTGAAGAGACCAATACTGAGTTCCAAAATCGAACCAGTAATAAAAAAAAAAGCTACCAACCATAAAAAGCCTTGGACCACATAGATTCACAGCCAGATTCTACCAGATATACCAATAGTTGGTATTAGTCCTACTGAAACTATTCCAAAAAATTGAGGAAAGACTCTTCCCTAACTCATTCTATGAAACCCAATCTATGAAACCAGCATAATGATAACACCAAAATCTGGCAAAGACACACCAAAACTGAAAGCTATAGACCAATATCCCTGATGAACATAGACACAAAAATGCTCAACAAATAGTAGCCAACCAAATCCAACAGCACATCAAAAAGTTAATAAACCACAATCAAGTAGGCTTCATTCCTGGAATGAAAGGCTGGTTCAACATATGCAGATCAATAAATGTGATTTACCATATAAACAGAATTAAAAACAAAAACCTTATGATCATCTCAACAGATGTAGCAAAAACCTTTAAAAAAATCTAGCAATCCTTCATGATTAAAAAAAAAAAACCCAACAAATTAGACATCGAAAGAACATACCTCAAAATAATAAGAGCCATCTATGACAAGCCCACAGCCCACATCATACTGAATGGGCAAAAGCTGGAAGCATTCCTCTTTTGAACTGGAATGGCATAAGGATGTCCACTATCACCACTCTTATTCAACATACTACTGGAGTCCTAGCCAGAGCAATTAGGCAAGAGAAAGAAAGAAAATGCATCCAAATTGGAAAAGTAGTAGTCAAATTATCTCTTCCCTGATATGATTCTATAATTAGAAAACCCTAAAGATGCTGCCAAAAGGCTTCTTGAACTAATAAACAACTCCAGTAAAGTTTTAGGATACAAAATCAATGTGCAAAAATCAGTAGCATTTCTATACACCAATGACATTCAAGCTGAGAACCAAATCAAGAACACAATCTCATTTACAATAGCTGCACACACACACAAAATAAAATACCTAGGAAAATATCTAAGGAGGTGAAGGATATCTAAAAGAACTACAAAATATTGCTGAAAGAAATCAGAGGTGACACACACAAATGGAAAAACATTCCATGTTCATGGATTGGAAGAGTCAATATCATTAAAATGTCCATACTGCCTAAAGCAATCTAGAGATTCAACACTATTCCTATCAAACTACTAACATCATTTTTCACAGAAATTGAAAATACTATTCTAAAATTTATATGGAACCAAAAAAGAGCAGTCCTAAGCAAAAAGAACAAAACTGGAGGCATCACATTATCCGACTTCAAACTATACTAGAAGGCTACAGTAACCAAAACAGCATGGTACTGGTACAAAAACAGATACATAGATCAATGGAACAGACAGAGAACCCAGAAATAAAGCTGCACACATAACTGATCTTCAACAAAGTCTACAAAAATAAGCAATGGAGAAAAGACTCCTCATTCAATAAATGGTGCCAGGATAGGTTGCTAAATCATATTCTGAAGAATGAAAGTAGACCCCTACCTATCACCATATATTAAAATTAACTCCAGATGTATTAAAGATTTAAATGTAAGACCTAAAACTATAAAAGTCCTATAAGAAAACCTAGGATATACTCTGCTGGACATTGGCCTTAGCAAAGAATTTGTGACCAAGTCCTCAAAAGCAATTGCAACGAAAACAAAAATTGACAAGTGAGACCTAATTAAAGAGTTTGTGCAATGCAAAAGAAACTATCAACAGAGTAAACAGACAACGAACAGAATGGGGGAATATATTTGTAAACTATGCATCTGACAAAAAACTAATATCAAGAATTGTGATGGCTAATACTGAATGTCAACTTGATTGGACTGAAGGATGCAAAGCATTGATACTGGGTGTATCTGTGAGGGTGTTGCCAAAGGAGATTAACATTTGAGTCAGTGGGCTGGGGAAGGCAGACCCACCCTTAATCTGGGTGGGCACCATCTAATCAGCTGCCATTGAATATAAAGCAGGCAGAAAAACGTAACGGACTGAGGCTGACCTAGCCTCCCAGCCTACATCTTCCTCCCATCCTGGAGTCTTCCTGCCCTCGAACATTGGACTCCAAATTCTTCAGTTTTGGAACTCGGACTGGCTCTCCTTGCTCCTCAGCCTGCAGAACGCCTATTGTGGGACCTTGTGATCATGTAAGTTAATACTTAATAAACTCCCCTTTATATATATATATATATATACACACACACACACATATATATATATATATTCCATTAGTTCTGTCCCTCTAGAGAACCCTAATACAAGAATCTATGAAGAACTAAAAAAAAAAAAAAAAAAAAAAAAAAATCAAGAAGAAAAACAAATAACCCCATTAAAAAGTGAGAAAAGGACATACTTATCAAAAGAAGACATACAAGCAGCCAACACATAAAAAAGTACTCAATATCACTAATCATCAGAGAAATGCAAATCAAAATCACAATGAGATACTATTTCATACCAGCCAGAATGGCTACTATTAAGAAGTCAAAAAATAATAGATGTTGGCAAGGCTGCGGGGAAAAAGGAATTACACACTGTTGTTGGGAATGTGAGTTCAGCGACTGCGGAAAGCAGTTTGAAGACTTCTCAAAGAACTAAAAATAGACCTACCAGTCAACCCAGCAATCCCACTACTGTGTATAAACCCAAAGAAAAATAAGTCATTCCACCAAAAAGACACAAGCCCTCATATCCACCACAGCACTATCCACATTAGCAAAGATATGGAATCAACCTGGGTGCCCATTAATGGTGAATTGGATAAAGAAAATGTGGTACATATACAGGATGAAATACTACATACCCATGAAAAAGAACAAATCATGTCCTTTGCAGCAACATGGATGTTGCTGGAGGCCATTATTCTAAGTGAATTAATACAGAAACAGAAAACCAAATACTGTATGTTCTCACTTATAAGTGGGAGCTAAACATTGGGTACGCATGAACATAAAGGTGGGAACAACAGACATTAGAAACTAGAAGAAGGGGGAGGGAGAGGAGGTGTGGGCTGAAAAAGTATTGGGTACTATACTCACTATCTGGGTGACGGGTTCATTTGTATCTCAAACCTCAGCATCATATAACATATCTTTGTAACAAACCTGTAGCCCCTTAATCTAAAGTTAAAAGTAAGAAAAGACGAAGAGGACAGGGATAGTAGCAGAAAGAGAAGAAAAACAGACGGTTGTTGTCTAAAGTGTCAGCACTGTTTGTCATAATTCTTCTGCCAGAATGCTTTCTCCTTGATCAAAGTACCTGTTCAGGATGAAGTGAAGGGAAATGGGAGTTAATGAAATTTTATAAGAATTGTTTAATGACTTTACTGCTGAAAAAATGTTAAGAGTTATTTGGAGTACACCACTGTTATATATGAATTTCTCTGCAAGTATGGTAGGATAAAGAATACCTGGAAGAAATATAGGATGGCTGGCAAGATGGCCAAATACGAAGAGCTCCAGTCTGCAGATCCCAGCAAGATCAGTGCAGAAGGCAGGTGATTTCTGCATTTCCAACTGAGGTATGCAGCTCATCTCACTGGGACTGGTTAGACAGTGGGTGCAGCTCACAGAGGGCGAGCTGAAGCAGGGTGTGGCACTGTCTCAGCCAGGAAGCGCAAGGGGTCGGGAAACTCCCTCCCCTAGCCAAGGGAAGCCATGAGGGACTTTCCTGTGAGGAACGG